AGAACGTTCCGTCTCCGTCCCCCCGCTAGGGCCGGCGGCAGCAAACTTAGAAAGGGCGCTCGGCTCCGGAGGCCCCGCCCTGGAGGCGTGGCCCCGCTAGACGGGCGGGGGCGTGGCCGGCTCCTCGCCCCGCCCTGCCCCGCCCTGCCGGAGGCCCTGGGCACCGCACCTACCCCGCGCTGCGACGCTGCGGTCTGCACCAGCTCTGCGGACGCGATCCAGGTAAGCGCCAGCCCCTGCGGGCGGCGAGGAGCACGAGCAATCGGGGGGCACTTCAGCTCCTGCTCGGGGCACCGCCCATATCTTTGCCTCTTGGAGCTGAACAGGAACTCGCTCTCCTTTTGACCTCTCATCAACAGTAGGTTTGAGCTCCGCATTTCTACCCCTTTGACCCCCACCTGTACTGTGCCCTCTCCGCGGTGAAGTGGATTTGCAGCGTCAAAACGACCTCGGCCTCGCCATCTATAACTCAGGGAGATTCTCAAGGTCAGCCCTTCCTCAGTTCTTTCCGCGTCTGTCTTCCTGGGCTGGGCGCTCAGGGACTCGCTCTTTCTGCCCTCCGGACTCCACCGGATCTCGCCAAGTGCGCCTCTGGTGCAGAAGGAGGGCGAGCGGGCACGGCGGGGGAAGTTGACGGCTCAGGCCTGCCTGATCGGGGACACTGGTTGCAGAAGTGGCCCCCGAGCGCTGCGCCTGCTGCGGACGCGGAGGTGTTGCTAGGGCCCTTTGCCGAGAGCCTCGGAGGGAATTGTGTTTGTTTTCTTCCGCCTCACAGTAACGTACGTCCTTTCTCTTGGAACCTTTAAAGTAGGTCATTTCCTATCGCTGCCTTAGAGCAGGAGACGCTTGGGGGGAGGGGGTGTCCTTTAAAGGTTCTTCCTTGGATTTTAGGAAATTGCCCTCCTTCTGTGGTTTCCCTGCAGGAAGGCCCAGGGCCACCGCGTGGGGCAGCTGCTGGGCGTGAAAGGGGCCAGAGACTCTTGTGAGTCATCCCCCTCCCCCCCAGTTGTGGCTTCTGCTAATACTTTCCATGGGAGTCGCCCGTTTACCAGCTACATTGTAGCCTGGCGCACTGGCTAGGATGGGAAAGGAGGTAAAGGCAGAGAAGGGGTGGCGGGGAAAGGAGGGACTGTCAAACCCCATCTGAGGTCGGCGTCCTACAGGGCAAGGAGGGACTTTCTGCGAGCATGTGTGCGGAGGCTAGGTGTGTCCTGCGGAGGCTAGGTGTGTCCTGCGGAGGCTAGGTGTGTCCTGCGGAGTCGCTGCAGGTCTCACATTCCCCCAGCAGGGCTGGTCTTGGGAAATCTGTGCTCACCTGGAGCCAGTGGTTTCTTAGTGGCGCCAGGATTGTTGGTTAGGTTATGTTTCACTTCAGTAAATTCAGTCATGGGAGCATAGTATCCAATTCCAAGGATCAAGAATGTGTATTCTCATAGAAGTTAAGTAAAATGAACACTAAAATCCAAGCACTTTTGCTCCTGGGAAGACTTAGGCTTTATTCTGACACAATGCTACAAAAATAGAAAACTTTGTCAAGTGATTTTTCTCTCTTGGAGCAGTGTTACTATCTATAAACCAGCAGGGAGATGCTGTGACCAGCCCTAAAAACTTGGGTCCGATGGCTTTGGTGCCTAAGTTCACTCTAAAAAATTTTAAGAACTAGGGCTGACCTTGCGTCGCTAGTATAGTGGCTGAATGCTGTGCACTGGGAGCCAGAGCCCGTATGGCCAACAGGGGTTTGAGCCCTGGCCGTGGTGGCTTGAAAAACACACCAGGCACTTGTGCATGCATGCCCCGGAGTCCTGAAGGGAAGGAGATACGGAGGAGAAAGGATGGCGGCAGGACCGTGCCCCATGTGGGATGCTTCCTGTCTCTGCCTCTCTCTCTGATGAGTGCACGCTCCCTTTTTAATTTGGCGTGGTGATTCAGGCGCTGGACTCCCACATGGCAGACTGCGGTTCGAGTCCCAGACCTGCTGGCTTGAAAATCGTTCCAGGTGCGTGTGCATGTGTGCCCGAAATCCTGAGAGGAGAATGGAGAAGAAAGGATTGCGGTGTAGCCATTCTTGCTGGGGGAGAGGTGACTTCTCACTTTCCCTCTCACTGTCTCTCTGTGTCTCTCCTCTCCTGCGAGTGCACATGTCCTACTGCAAAACCTAAAAAGAAAGAAAAGGAGGTATTGTATCTCTCCAGCTTAAAACACGAATGATTGTGCCATGGCTTCACGGTACAAGACAGGCAGAGAAAAGTCCAACTCCTGTGTGAGACTAGAGTCAGGAGCCCAAGCGGGGCCTTCGCTCGACGGCTGGTGTCCTCGCAGGGACTCAGCAGCTGCGAGGGATCCGCTGCAGTCGGCCTGCATGCCGGTGATGGAAAAGCCACGCAGTGTCCAAGTGACTCATTCGAGATTTTCCCTAGGTTTCTGGGTAGCATTACGGGACAAGTATACGGGACTGGTGATGTGAAACGAGGAGCCCGTTTCTGGGTTCCATTGCTCCTGGCACACCTCCCTGAAAGACGGGGGGAAGTTCTTTCCCCCTGTGTTCTTGGCTTCTCGTGTCACACTGCAGTGCTGACACTCAGGAAAATGAAGACGTTCCTTTCTGGACTTTTCCCAAGTGTTTTTTCTTCCAATTAGAAACACCTCAGGCTTTAATCAGTCACAGACTTGGGGTCAATTTTTAGCTCTCTCTTATTATTAATATATTTTATGCTCAGGGGAGGGTCTGGGGAGGTGGAAGCGTTTCAAAGCTGTCAAGCATGGTCAAGCTGCTCTTCGGTTCTCTGCAAGACGGTGCGGCCAGACAGGATAGCCAGAAAATCGAGTCTGGGGCCAGCTGCGTGGGGCTGTGGGAATCCAGGCTTTGCTCTACAGTACCTTTGTGACCTTGAGCACATTACGTCACCTCTCTGATGCTGTTTCCTTATCTGCAAGGTGAGGGGACGGGTAATAAAATATCACAGGGACAGGGAAGACCTGTGAGCTATGGCTGGTGAAGCCTTTCTGATAGGGTTCAGTCCCTACCGGTGATAGGCAGCTGTTCCTGCTAGCCTCAGTAACTCATTCCTTCCCGCTGCTCTTCCTGACGGGGACCTCCACCTTCCCACCCACTGGGGAAAGGTTTCCTCTCCTTCTACAGACCAAGGCCTTTCCTGTCGCCAGGCCTCTGAGCTTGCTGGTTTCTGTTCCTGCGCTCCAGGGCCCTTAGCTGACCTGCTACCCTCCTGTTCTCTGCTCCTCCAAGGTCACCTCCCTGCCCCACGTGCACACACACACACGTGCACATGTGCTTGCTCACGCGCACACACACATGCACATACACACGCACACTCACTTGACCTGTCCATTCTGCGGGGTCAGGACCTTCTTTCTCAGTAACCCCATCATAGCCCTGCACCCCAGGGGGGGTGTGGCACTTAGCAGAGGGTGCCCACCGGAGGGAGCCATCCTAAGAAAGCACGGCAGAAGGCGGCAGGTGGACTGGAGGCAGGCCTCCCGTTCACATGAAATGCTTTGTCCTGCAGCGACCGCCAAACCGGCTTCGTGTCACGAACTAGGAGACATTCTCTTTTTTCCTTTTCCTTCTGTGTCACACGGCGTCGCCCTTTCTCTCCCCCGCCCTCTGAGGTTGCTCTTTCAGACCCTGGGAATATCCTGTGGGCTGTCCCCAGGGTCACATCTCCTGGGAGGCCCAGGGCCTGCGGGTAGATGTCACGGAGCTCTCGCTGTGTATGGAGACTGCTAGGGGAACCGGTAGCATCTGCAGGGGAGCCTGGGCTTGTCTGTCCTGTGACAAATCTTTTGTCTTAGATTCTGGAAGGACAGAATTCTCTGTTTCTCCCAGGGCAGCTTCAGTTCCACTTAGGCATGTGCGTTCAGTGCCTGTCACCCAGAGAAGAACGGAGCAGGTGACTTGCCGACTCAGCCTCCACAGAGCGTGTGTCAGGGCACGTGGGTCCCACATAACCAAGAGCCATTCACCCCGCCTGAGCGCCACGCGGACCCCACCCCGCCGCCCCGTCCTGCATTACACAATTGTTTTCAGTGCTGACAGCTCACCCAAGTGTTGGGGTAGAAGCGACATCTGAAACTTGAATGCTTTAAATACGGCCGAGCTGTGGCTCTTTAATTATAACCAGCTATGTTTGAGTTATAGTACATTGACCTCTCCAAGGGACAGACTTCCATCCTCCTAGTTAGCCTCCCCTTTCCAGAAATTCCGCCGGCCACGTTATGAGCAGCTGAAGAATGAGATAGTAGGCGGGACCTGCTTTGTGCCCTGGCTGCCCTGTTTGCCTTATTTGAATGAATGAGTCAGGGGCTCGTCTGTAGCGTGGTGGTGAAGGCGCTGAATCACGCATGGCCAACCACATGGTTTGAGTCCCAGACCTGGCGGCTTGAAATACATGCTGGGCACATGTACATATATGTGTGCAAAATTTCAAAAGGAGGGAGCGATGGAGGAGCAGGGATGGCGGTGTGGCTGTCCCCCATGGGAGGGGTGCCCTCTCTCTCTCTCTCTCTCTCTTTCTCTCTCTCTCACTCTCTCTCTGTCTCCAGCAAGTAAACATGTGTCCTCTGGCAAAATTTAAAATAATAACAACAATAATCAAATGCTGAATAAATATAGCTTGAGCTTCTCTAATCTAAAACTCCCAATTCCACAGTCCCCCCAAATCAGAAACTTTTTGAGCACCGATATGCTGCCTCAAGTGGAAAGTTCCACATTAGATCCCGGTGACAGCTTGCATCAAAACACGGCATACAAAAATACTTTACCAACTCACCATCGGTCTCTGTGTGTCAGGTGTATAGGAAGCAAAAGGAACTTCGCGTTTCAATTTGGGTCCCATCCTCAAGCCATCTCAGTATACCCAAATCAGAACCACTTCTGGACCCAAGCATTTCAGAGAAGGGAATAGCCAACCTATAAAGCCAGTCCTGCTCAACTCACATTTTTTTCTGGAGAGGTTTTTGCTATAGGGCATGTGCTCGCCAGAGAGACAGAGACAGAGAGACAGAAAGTGAGAAATCACCCCCCCCAGGGGGTATGGCCACGCCGCAATCCCTTCTCCTCCATTCTCCTCTCGGAATCTTGGGCACGCACGCACATGCAGCCGGTGTGAGTTTAAGCCACCAGGTCTGGGACTCAAACCATGGTCGACTACATGGGAGTTCAGCAACATAGCCATTACGCTAACTGCTGGTCCCCTCGACTAACTTTTTTGAGAGAACCCGCTGAAGCTGAAATGCAAATTTTGTGGGAAGATAAGGAGGCTTCAAGATTTCATGTAAAATGGAATTAAAGTATGAGTTTAGTTCTTTTGGTATAAAAATTGATACCCATGCATATTTTTTTTTCATAGTACACATTTTCCATGAACTTTTAAATTTTTTTTAGGAGAGATTTTTTGTTACAGGGCACATGCACTCACCAGAGAGACAGAGGGACTGAAAGTGAGAAATCACCCTCCAGGGGGGTGGCC